CGGGCGCGCCTGGAGCCGGGGCTGAGGCCGCTGCCGTTTGCTGTTTCTGCCCTTTCTTTTCCCGCAGAACGCTTTAAAGAATGGCGAGTGTTCGGAGCCTTCAGACAAGCAGGAGCAGCGCCTGGGGATGAAGAGAAAAAACAATAAAAAGAACAGGAACAGAAAGAAGAGCAACACCGTGCCTTTGAAACAGGTCACCTCGCCTGTAAATGCTCGCGATGCGTGTGCCGCACGCTGTACTTCTCTGTGGTACTCAAAGTTAGCTTCTTCGTCACCTGGAGAATACTGTTCCGGGGTGGGGGATGATAATGTTATGAGCCTTATTTATAGGTTGCATTGAGCAATTTCACAAAATACAACGGAAGAACTTTCTGGGAGGGAGTAATCTTTCTCATGGTTGCAATGAAAAGTAGTTTAGAAAAAGGCATCTTTCTCTCTAATCATTGGTGTAGGTATTTACGTGCCTCCCTTGCTTCTGTTGCAGTGGAAAGTTGGTGACAGCTGTAATGCTGTTTGGTCTGAGGACGGTAATGTGTACCTGGCAACTATTGCCTCCATCAACCAGAAGAGAGGCACATGTGTGGTTACTTACATGGGATATGGAAATCAGGAGGAGCAGAACCTGTGTGATCTACTTCCTCCAGCCAGTGATGAAACAGTAAGTGGGATGGGGAATTCAGGGGACGTGAGGGACACTTTTTCATTCTTCTGAAAGGAAAGAGAAGGTGGGAGAATCAACGTTTTCTGAATTTCTGGAACCACTGGTGTTCAGAGTGAGAATCGATACCTAATTCCATTGTGAACGGATGTAAGCTGATTCAGGTAATCAAAGCATCCCCTTACTTCTTGAACACAGCAGGGAAAAAAAGGGAGGGGACAAGAAGAAATTCATGAGTGAAAGATAACATAGCTAAAACAGTGAGTAGATAAGATTATGAGGTTATGAGATCTTTCCTGAGTAGGACTGGGAGAGCCAGAGAGAGGGAAGGATGTGGATGGGGCTTTCCAATGTTTTTCACACTAAAATTGCTTGCTGTAAACTCCTGTTTAGTGCATCTCATAAGAATGTCTTGGTCTTCTAGAACGAAAATGAGACTTCATATTCAACAGACGAAAGCGAAAAATCCTTCCAGTCACCTCGAAACAAAAACAACTTCACAAAAGCAAGATTCTCCCCTCAAAAACTACGTTTTCCCATACCACCAGCAGCCCCAGGCCTGGGAAGGGTAAGTTTATCCTTACCTGAAATAATTTATATTCCACTGTTAAGCCGGTGTCTAAATTCTGAAACAATGGGATGATATTTGTCATTGTCTAGAAACCAAATAACAGCATTTTGGGAATGGATATACAGAAATGCATGTTCGAACCTGTTGGTATGTCATTTTGTAATAATCTGGACACACTGTTGCTCTTTTGCAGTGCTGCTGTCTAGTGAGGAAAGCCTTCTCCCTAGCTAATATTCGCTTTGCAATTGCTGTGTAACTTAAAAGAGGGATGTTGTTCCCTGAACTGTGATAGAGCTGTTAGTGATAGCACTGTTGATGTTTTAAGATTGCACTTTTTTCTAGCCAGTTGATAGGTGTCACTACGTAGGACACTGAAGGCAGCAAAAGTGATGTCCAGATGTCGTAGAAGTTCTCAGCTGTAGCTTCTCTGTTGAACTATGAGGGCTGGGGTATTGATATACACTTCAGTTTTACTTTTCATGGAATGGAATGCTCCAAAGAAATAGCTACTGTGTAGTGTGATTGCAGTTTCATTAAATTGCTGGGATGTGTTGTCTGTAGTTTAAAGTTTGTGAATTGCTTCAAATGATTCTCTTAAATAAAATCCTAATGCCTGAAATTTATTTTTAATCTGCACGATTTAATTTTTTCAATGTAGCCTGGATCAAAATTCAGGGCACCTCCATCATTTTTATCTTGCTGGCCCCCGCCCTTCCCAGCAGGACCACCGGTAAGTGATAGAACAAGGAAGAAAGCGTCAGACATGAGTATTAGTGATCTCAAGTTTTCTAACTGAATGTGCTCACCACCTAAGTTTTTAGAACACATTTCTGTGTTAGTCTGTTGTCGTGGTTTAAGCACAGACTGCTTAAAGTTAACTCTCTTAGTTTTTTTTCCTTTCTTCTTCATAAATAGCTAGAAAGAGGCTGTGTTTTGGATTTATGCTCAGAGGAGCTGATAAGAGAATAATGTTTTGTTCTGCTGCCAAGGTCAGCAGACGAGCAAAGAGGCACAGCCGGTTGCTAGCATAGGATTTGCCCTTATGTTAAGACTGAAGCTCAGAATAGCCAATGATTTATTCCATACCATGCACGTCATGCCCAGTATATAGGTAAGAACACCCGTAAGAGTGCTCTTTTTTGCCTTGGCTCCGCTTTCGGTGCTCTCTCCTGTCTCCGCATCGCTCTCCAAGGCCTTCCCCCCCTTCCACTGCCTGGGACACTCAAACCGTTATCTCCGTTCCGTGAGTTTCAGG